ATGCCGGAAAGTTTCTAAATTTCAACCAATCAGAGTGGTATATGCAAAAGTCTGGAAATTTGAAATTTTGCGCGCCCTTTAATGAGAGAGCCCTAATTAATTAGAATCCAGTAGGGATATTCCGCAAGAGGGAACACGAGCGGATCAAACAGAAATCAAAAGTGTCCAAAGTGGATATTCAGATAAAGCGATCGGTATTAGGGGTATCTAATTCTGAAGTTTTTAGCTCAGGACATTTTACAATTTTACATTTTAAAGAACTTCAATTGTTTATTGTTTGTTGTCATTAACTAGAGCATTTTCAGAGGCGGGGGGAATATAAAAAAAACACCCCACCCCAAATTACCCCCATTAATTCCTAACAGTGAGTATGTATAATAAGAGAAAACAAAAGTCTGTTTCTGCTTGTGTCTGTTTGACGGTGTAGTGTATAGGATTAGGACAAGAATATAAAACTATTTTATTGCATATATAAATATATATTAACCATTATTCAAGGATTATTGTCTTTATATGAAATATTCACGTTATCCTCAAAGAAAGCTTAGAGAAAGGAATTCTCATAGAATACAAAATGCTTTTTATTGTGTTTTCTTGTAACTTTGTTTATTTCTTTATTGATTAAACTTTGTTCAGAATTGACCCAACGCCAAAACTTTAGTTTTGTGAATCTCGGAATTAATCATTGATCTACTTCGTATGCAGATCTACAAACTCATTTGATGCCTCTTCGATATACAGGCGTAGTGGTAATACGCTGAAAGGTTAACTTCAATTAAGGGATCTGGTATTGATCCTCAAATTTATAAGTGCCCACATTTGATATCGCGATAAAGCGTTAAGATCAAGATTCACAAGTTCCGTATCATGTGTTATCATGAACGCACACTTTTTTAATTTTGTCTGTTATAATATATTTTAAAAAGGCCCTGGTGCAAGTTAGTCAATGAAAGACCGAAAAAAATGAAGGAAAGCCAAGATAATTGAAACTTGCCTCAAACTCGATTTTTTAACGAGTTTTTTATGCCAGTTCATGACTAGCAATTTAAAGTCGACATTTTCTCGTCATTTAATATATAGTCGACTTTTTAGTTTTTACAAACTAGTTTTAAAGTGTAGCGGGAAACATCATCATATTGATAAGATTTGGTTTATAAGCTTCTAATAGAAACCAAGATTAAAACACCTAAACTAAAATATAAAATAACTTTAAAAGTTTGATGATAAATACAAATTCAAAATTATATTTTAAAACTTCTTATAGAATTAAGATTCTTTTGTCATTTTTCATAGTCTCTCTCTTTTTCAAATAAATTAATGGGAAATTTAATATCTTTATTTTTAATGGTTTAAGTGCTATGCAGGGTTGAAAAATGTTACAAAAAGCGATTTAAACTTTAAACTTTTAGAAATTACAGACATTTTAGTAGAGATGACGAACAAAACAGGTCACAAAGTCGTCACAATATTGTCGTATAAATCTGACCTTCTCCTTCTGTCTTGTGGATGAAGGGTGGGGGAGAGGGGAGTTGTTTCTCCGTCCTTTGCAGGGTTAAGCTTTCGTTCTTTACCATTCCTTTCCGTTTCTATAATTACATTTGATCCTATCTCTTGCTCATTCCCTCTCCTCATTCTTCCATGTTTAACCTCCAATCCATCCCTTCACATTAAATATACATCTAGATAGGACAGGGCATTGATGGTATTTTTCTAATTTGTTAAACATTGCTCTCAAATCAGGTAGTTTAGATGCACTGACGCGGACCGCTATGCCTTTTCTAAAAAGATTTACTAAACAGTCAGCTGTACCCGTAGCTGTATACTTTGAGTTAATCAATCAATAGTGCACTCCTGTATGCCGAGTCCATTAGCGCCTGATCCAATCAGGGTTCAGTCATGTGTTTGTTGTCTATTCTGAACCAATAGAAATAGTATGGCGGTAACATCTATATTTCTATCTATCTCATGATCCAATTAAAGTTATGAATCCTTCAATTAACAGTAAATGGAAATGCTTACTTCTACTGAAACTGTAAACCAGACCACCTAGTTTACCGTGGGAAAGTAAACCAGACCACCTAGTTTACCGTGGGAAAGCATCATTCATCAAGAAAATTATCAAAATTGTTGTTATCAATTTCAAAAAACATATCTTTGTTTGATTAACAAATTTGTCCGCTAATTTATCAATTCTGTCTGTTCATTCATGACAGTTTTCTTTTATCTTAAAAGAAGAATTTGTCCGATAGTTAACAAATCTATGGCCAGCCCTAAAACAGGATACGCCCCCCCCCCTCAACTCAACCTGGGATATTGTTTGAGAGGTTTTGGACCCTTACCTAGATCCCATACCTTGTCCAGTATACCACTGTCCATCCATCAATCTATACCTATACTATATATATATTAAGTTGTTGTCTTTGTTGGTTTGTAATTATCTCCGATCATAACTCCAGAACCCCTTTACAGAGTTGCCACAAATTTTGAGTGGAAAACTCGGGAAAACCACGGGAATGTTCAAAGCTTTGTTTTGAGATTCAAAGTTGAGTGGGTTATAATTTTGCTAAATTTTTTTTTGATGCATTGGGTATGGTCATAGAGAATAGAATATATAGAGAGGAATTTACTAGAAAAAAGTGTAAAACGGCCATTTTGTTGTACTGTTTCCATACTGCAGGTGTACTTCTCATATCCTGGTTTTCAAGTACCCCAGCAGATATATGGTTAAATGACGCCAAACAAATGAAAATAACAACATGAGGTTTGAATTGTAAAGACCAGCCTCAAAATCTTCAGGATAGGTTATTGCATACGCGGTAATTGTACAGCAGACAAATATTTCTAATATATGTATATATATAATGTATATATATACATTATATACTATATATATATGTGGATATCTATAATTTTACATTTCGATTAAATTTCACTTAAATTTCATCTTCTCCTGCAGGGACATATAGAATTTAGATCTATTTGCATATTTTTTTTCTGTTGACTAAGAATATTGTCAGCAGAAAATGATGACTTTCATAAACCTACATCAAAGACAGAGAATATGTCAGTGACAGACATTTATTCAGAACCTAGAATCATATTTATTATTAAATATTCATTCCAATATTACTTTGCTATTTTTTCTCATTATTTTATTATCCACTCATAAATAGAAACATATTGTAAATATCATGGACAAAGTTACCGAAATTTGAGTTTGTGTGGTTTTCCCGTTATTTATAAAATAGAATACGCTTCATGTCTGATATAAATATTATCTAAAAATTAAAATTTTAGGACATCATCATTCCTAAAATTGACCAATACTACTTATCTACCTATCAGGCGAACCGGAAACCGGGTTTTTAGAAATTTAAGGCTGAATAGATCAAGCGAAAAAATTGTCTTCAAAATACATCATTATGGGTATCAAAAGATCCGCCTTGAAAACATGAATTCAGAGTCTCAAAAAAATCATTTTTAAAACATCATAACAGAAAGTGACTTTTGGATTTTAGAAATGCTAAAAATCAATTGCGGGCACGGCTTTTAGACCTATGAGCCTGATATTCGACAAAAATTCTTATTTATATAATTACATGACATCTCAGGTTGAGGGGAGCTCCAATTATAAAAAATCGATCACTCTTAAAAACTAGATAGAAAGATAGAAAGAAATCTATATTTGACTAAATTGTTCAAAGATACCAAATACAGGTATAGGAACAATATGTACAGTTTTATTTAGCCAGGGCCTGTCTAACCATTGCTGGTTGTTTTGAATATGAGGCCCTTTTTGTTTAAGTCAGAAGTACATACTGAATTTAAATGAAACAAAATAAAACAAAAATAATTTAGACTAAAGGAAAGCAAAAAGAGATGGAGAAGTAGGAAAATATTTTTCAGGGCGAGGGCTCCAGAAGGGGGGGGGGCAACCGAGCACAGAAAAGTCTAAAAGATATGTTATAATAACACCAGGAGAAAGAGGTCACTCAAAATCTAAAATTACTGTAAATTTAGCGTGTTCAGATAATAAATTACAAGTTTTATAGTCAGAATTAAAAAGTACAGTCACTCAAAAAATATCTTAAATCTGTTGAATCTTAAAATTTAACAATAATACAGGAAAATTCTGGTGGCATTCTGAGCACGGGCAGCCGCAGTACATTTGAATTTCCGAGCCGGGTCAACCTTTCCCGTCCCAGTTTGTACTTCACCTATGCTCTATGGACAGGACTAACCGATGCAACAAGGTTGACGCGGTCAGACTTTATGCTTCATAAAGGTTCAATTTACTTTTACTAATGGGGCAGAGGTGCGTGTGAAATGTATAAAACAAAAAGCATATACAAGTAGATTATCAAAAAAGTCCTAGATTAATACTAGAAAGAGGGGACATACAGATATATTTATATTTATACTTGTATAATTTGATTGGATGGAAAACACAGAGAAGTAATTAACTAAAAGCCACAGAATATATGCATTGTTATGCATAATTACACATATATACTTCAGTAATTGTTTATTTTCAAAAAGTGTTTTTATCAAAATTTTATAAAATAATCGTTAACCATTCAATTTATCTTCGAAAATATAGCTCGGCTTCTCGAAAATAAAAAAATAATATTATTAAAGTAAATTAATTATGTATAAACTTTGAGCCAAATACAGTGTACACAATAAACATTGTAAAATAATCCGTTGCATACATTTATACAAAATACATTATATAACAAATACGAGAATTTTACATTCTTTTGGATTTGAAGCTTTACTGATGAAAATACCCACTATTTCAAGGATTACATGCCCAAAATGCAGTAGTACCCTGTAAACCTTTTACTGACCGAGAAAGATTAAGATATTTATAGTTTTCAGCTGGTAAATCATTGTATAATAAATGTATTCGTAAATCTTTACTTAGTACTTATATCACATATTTAAATGTATTATATTGTAAAGACTAAAAATGATTGTAAGAACTGTTGCCCCTGTAGACAACCAGACTAGTCTGTGATATCGACTACCAGTTCAACAGGATGCAGGTAGTCATTTAGTCTTTTCATCCCAACATTTTGTATCCATTAAAGCATTTCATTCCACCATCCTATATATCCAATTTAGCCAATCATCCCATTATATTCTACTCCTTTCACCCCTTTAGCCCATTATCCCCCCATCTTATAGGCCTTTAACCCATTATCCCATCATCTTCTGGTCCTTTAACCCATTATCCCACCATCTTCTAGTCCTTAAACCCATTATCCCATCATCTTCTAGTCCTTTAACCCATTATCCCACCATCTTCTAGTCCTTAAACCTATTGATCCACCATCATCTAGTCCTTTAACCCATTATCCCACCATCTTCTAGTCCTTTAACCCATTATCCCACCATCTTCTAGTCCTTTAACCCATTATCATCTAGTCCTTTAACCCATTATCCCACCATCTTCTAGTCCTTTAACCCATTATCCCACCATCTTCTAGTCCTTTAACCCATTACCCCACCATCTTCTAGTCCTTTAGCCCATTATCCCACCATGCATCTTCTAGTCCTGAAACCTATTGATCCACCATCTTCTAGTCCTTTAACCCACTATCCCACCATCTTTCAGTCCTTTAACCCATTATCCCACCATCTTCAAGTCCTTTAATCCATTATCCCACCCTCATCTAGTCCTTTAATCCATTATCCCACCATCTTCTAGTCCTTAGGCCCATTATCCCACCATGCATCTTCTAGTCCTGAAACCTATTGATCCACCATCTTCTAGTCCTTTAACCCATTATCCCACCATCTTCTAGTCCTTTAACCCATTATACCACCATCTTCTAGTCCTTTAACCCATTATACCACCATCTTCTAGTCCTTTAACCCATTATCCAACCATCTTCTAGTCCTTTAAACCATTATCCCACCCTCTTCTAGTCCTTAAACCCATTATCCCATTTTCTTCTAGTAAGGTAACCCTTTCATCCTACCATAGCTTTGAATCATTATAATTTATCTCAATATTTTTATCTCGGAATCCTAGGAATCCTGGACACCAAAAAAACCATCAAGGGTAATTGAATGCCTTAAATCATTGCTTGTGTTTATAATGTTACATAGACTAGCATAGACAAATAATTGTTTATTTTATATCAATATGCAAAACTTGAGATCCCATGCACTTCACATATCATATTTTATTGTTGTTATTATTGTAAATATTTATTCAATTTTCTGAAAGGAGTGTTGTTTACATTTCTCCCAGAAACTGCAGTACACTTTAAAAAAAATTATGAGTGTTTCTGGAGAATTTACATAAATTCTACTTGAATTGTTAATTTCAAAGCTTTTTATTATAATAAAGTTAGCAGTTTTCTAATTACGCTTTCATTATTGGTTGCTTAAGAAGTAGAGCAAGAGTATTTGGGTCAATCCATATGAAATCAGCCACCCCCTAGTTGGCACCATTTTAATTTTTTTAAATCTTTAAATGTTAAGAGACCTATGTGAGACATTACATAATCAGTAACTTTTAGACTCTGTTAACCTCCGTGTTCGGAGTACTGACGTCATGAACTTTGGACCTCTGCAAAGAGTTTGCACTTTTCAAATTGCCATAACTTTTTCTATTTGAGATATAGACGTAGTTTTTACATTATTAAATAGGTAATTAATTAGGCTTTATTTGTTTATTCATGAAATAATCGATAAAATATATGAATTTTAGCGGTTGATATTTTCAAATAAAAACATATTTTAAAAAACGAAAAGACATCGTAAACTTCGATTTTTTTTAATTCACAAAAAATATTCTCTTATATGTTGGAAATGCAGTGTAAAAATGTCAGGCTTGAGAAATTATTGGTTTTGTGAGCGTAATTCGCCGGTTTTCAGTGAGTTCTACCAAACCAACTTTCTCAATTAAAAAAATTATACCGTTTGAATACATAATATGTTAGGAATACACTATTCAAATTGCGAGATTGAAAACTAATTGATTAAGTAGCTTTGTAACAACCTCACTCCGACTTAAACTTAAACACAAGTACAAAACCTGTACAACAAAATCTATATAAATCTCTATAATCAAGGTTTGAGTTGAACTGATCTTTATTTAAAGAAATCATTATCTGCTCAGATCGGTGAGGCCGGTCATCGCGACAAAACATCAAAACATATATACACAAAGATAAAGTTAAAATACTATAGATCCAACATTTTCATAAGAGTTATGACAGTATTTCTGATCGTATTTTGTGGGTTTCTAATGTTTTCTGCAAAAACTGTTGAGCTAAATGTATAATGTTTCTCATAAAAACGCATTTTTAACCATTTTCTTTCAAGTAAACATTACAGTAAATAATATACGGTATGCTATAGTATGTATGCTATGTAATCTTTGTATTTCTTAACTACAATGTTAATAATAGATTCATTCGTCCAAAGTTCATGACGTCAGTACTCCAACACGGAGGTTAACAGAGTCTAAAAGTTACTGATTATGTTATGGCTCACATAGGTCTCTTAATATTTAAAGTTTGAAAAAAATCTAAGCTGGGGCCTACTGACTTTTGGAAAACTGGCTGATTTCAAATTGACTGACTGTGATTATTATTATCATTTTTTTTTATCCTGTATCATCATGTGTGTCCTGTTTTTCATATCCTGTGTCCTGTATCCTGTATCCTGCATCCTTTATCATGTATCCTGTATCCTGTAACCTGTGTCCTGTATCCTGTATCCTGTATCCTGTATCCTGTATCCTGTATCCTGTATCCTGTATCCTGTATCCTGTACCCTGCATCCTGTATCCTGTATCCTGTATCCTGTATCCTGTATCCTGTATCCTGTATATTGTATCCTGTAACCTGTATCCAGTATCCTGTATCCTGAGTTCTATATTGGTTCTCTTATTGATAAATATTTGATGTACCCTTGTGTTTAGGTTTTCTAGTCTTATATACAACTTCTATATCAATCTCAAGATATTAAGATATCAAGAAAAGGGGGTATTTTTGTTTAAGAATTGTTTAATTGAAGTCAAAGTTGACAACTAAATTTGCTGATTTTAATATCCCTCACACATAACAGTTATTGCAGAAATATTTAAATAAAATTTAACTCTTAAACATTATTTACCAAAAACTCACATCAATTATGATACTCAGTCATTTTAAATTGTCATGTTCAGTTGAACACCTTTTAACAGATGAACAGTATTCACACATACATTAGATAATTCGTCTGCATATTAAATTAATTTTTATATTTTAACAAGAATCATGAACCATTCATACTATATTACAGTATTACCCACAAAGGATGAAACAACAGCTTTCAACTTTCAAATCATTGAACATAATATCATTCCCAAATATATAAAGTTTTGCCCTGTGGTATAATTAATAAAAAAGTTATTAAGCATTTCTGATTTTTTTTAAACACCGAATTTCAGGTTGTCTTTTAAGTCTCATCCTTTGTGCGTATCACTGTATATTAATGATTCAACACTAAAGACTGACATATATGAAAATAGAAATGCAGAAAATCACTAATAAACTATTTATTTTATCAGTTTTCATACATATGATTTTTTAAATAATATATTAAGAAATTATTGTTTTACTGAGGTTATTTGCTAGTTTACCTTATCTATTTAATAACATGAAAATGAAAAATCGATTTTTATCGAACGAAAATTAAACGAAAATTTCGCGAAAATGGACGAAATTTTCGCAATGAGGTCAAAAATTTCGTCGAAAGTACATTGAAATTTGCGATAATTTTGAACGAATTTCATACGTTCATTTTCGCGAATTTCGTTCAACGAAAATTTCGATGGAAACCATAAGTGGCATTTTCGTTTCAAACCTGCGCCCTCAAAAACTTTGTTTGATCAAAATTACAAGAGATATTCATTTTTATTGTGTTTTTCTATAAATGTGACTTGCGGGTTGTTTGCAAACGTGCATTTCTCGCTGATAAGAAGCGATGGAGAAATTATCCGAATTACCACTTTTCAAGTCAGGAAAACGACAGTAACTTCCATAGTTTAGATCAGATTAAGGTTTCAAGGGTACCGTTTTGAAAATCGGGCTTTGGCATTTATGCATGAAATTATTATTTCTTCAAAGTTATGCTTACAGTACCTGCCCTCAAACGCCCTCAATCTTTTAAAAAAGGGTCAGTTGAATTAATGACGTGTACATTACAGTACAGTACTGTACAGTGTACAGTTGACTTAATTACGTGTACAGTACAGTACAGAACAGTACAGTACAGTGTAAAGTTGAATTAATGACGTGTACAGTACAGTACAGTACAGTGTACAGTTGAATTAATGACGTGTACAGTTCCTTTAAATTCCAATCTTTGATCCCTTTAATCCTTCCAAATCCTTTCAAAGGTTTGTTTTGATTAGGCTGACGGGTTTACTAACTTCTCGATGGTTCGAGGGGAGGGAGGGGGGAGAGGAGACTCAGATTCAGAAAACAGTATAAAGCTGAATGACAGGTGAGGTTTATCGATAGAAATTCACGACTCTTCGTGCCCTTTCATTTTTATTTCAATGTTCTTTTTTATTTAGAACTCTAGAATTTTATGATTCCTAAGGAATTGTGTCAGTGTGCCACAAACTCAAAGGAATTGAATCTTTGCCACAAACTCAAATTTTCTAAACCCTATATCTATGGAACCTGATGTTGTAGACTTCTGATATTTCAAACTAAGATAATTTGATGCAACAGAATTCATAGTTTGAAATATTTAAGGCATACGACATTGGGTTGCAGAGATATAGGAATTAGAAAATCCGAATTTGTGTCAAAGACTCAATTCCTTTTATATACTCCATGTATATATTTATATGCAACCTGATGATTATTTGATCCAACTAAATTCATATCTTGAAGTATCTGAGGTCGGCGAGATAGGGTTAAACCGATATAAAAATTAAAGTTTGTGGCAAAGACTCAATTCCTTTCCTTTGTTTTTGATTTTTACTTAAGGGAAAAAAGTTAACGATCAAATTTGATTTAGATTATTACATTCTTGCCTCGACTACTATCAATTAGAAACGAAATATCAGTTAATCAATATTGAATAACAATGACGATAACAAAGAATTCAATAAAGGCTATAAATACAGTTGGAATACAAATCCTGGGGTAGGAGAGACAGGAAAACAGGGAAGGGAAACTAGGAACAAAGGGAAGGGTAGGGAGCTAGGAAAACAGGGAAGGGAAACTAGGAACACAGGGAAGGGTAGGGAGCTAGGAAAACAGGGAAGGGAAACTAGGAACACAGGGAAGGGTAGGGAGCTAGGAAAACAGGGAAGGGAAACTAG